GTTGCCAAGGACTTAGTGAGCGTGACCCTGGGGTCTCCAAGGACTAAGACGCTGCTTTGCCCCCATGAAGAGCTTCTGTTCCAACTCATGTCAAGAAGATCTTGTGATGGGAGGGTTGGGAAGGTGGGTCAGTTGGTAAAATGCTTGCCATGCAAGGATGGGGATCTGAGTTCAATCCCCAGTGCCCATGTGAAAGGCTGGGCATGGCGGCTTGTGCTTGTAATCCTCGAACAGAGAATGAGATGGGGGCTGGGGGCGGTGCTGGGGACAGGAGGATCCCTGCAGCTTGTTAGCTGGCCACTCTAGGAATAGTCGAGCTCCAGGTCAGCGAGAGATCCTGTCTCAGAAAACAAGGTTATTCGGAGGTTTGAGGAAGAATGGCATTCACACACACACACACACACACACACACACACACACACACACACACACAAGTGTGCACTCCGACTTGTACATTTGCATGAATATCTGCATGCATGCATATGCACACACACAGAGACAAATAAAAGAAATAAGTTCCTGCGATGGTACCGTGTGGAAACGACTAGAACCAAGGAGGAAAGGCTGGGTAGGAAGGTTGGAGAAGGTGTCACAGAACAGAGGAGACGGAGGTGGAGAAAAGGCCCGCTAGGAAAGTCATCATGGCAGACGGAGCCATGGGTGCTAAGACACAGGGGCATGATGGGTATGGCATGGTGGGCATGGCATGATGGGGCTGGGGGAGATTTTAGATGCGGGAAAAATACAATGTGTGAGCAAATCCAGTCACAGGGTGTCCTCTGGGACATGCATATTTTGTTGGAGATGGTAAAGTCAGTCTGTCCTGTTTGGGGATTTGGTTGTAAGGGATAGGTACTTAAGACTCTATGTTCTTGGCCAGAGAGAGTAGCTGCAGAGGAGTAGTCACCTTCTGGAAGACGCTGGAGGTGAGTGTCACTTGGAACCCCTGGTGCTTATGAACAGAGAATCAGGCAGGGTCTGTGTGGGATGGGCCCATGACAGTGTCTGGTGGGTGCCCGACTCAGTATCTGGGTAGTCACTGCTGTGTGTGTCATGGTGACCCCGGGACAGCCAGACCTCCTTTCCAGACATCTACTGGGAATTGGGCTGTGTAGACCTTGCCCAGCCCTGAGGGCTGGCCTCCCCTCCAAGCCCGCTCCCTTTGCCCACACTCCCTGACTCAGTTTCTTCCTCTGCCACTGCCTTCTCTCTCCTGCTGGCTCTCTCATCATGGGATGGGCTGTTTGATATTTTCTTTGGTGTTTTCTTTGCTGGCCCTCGATCAGTTTCTTCTCCTACCCCTTCTCTTGCTGTCTGTGGAGATGATTAGTCAAGCCACTTGACTTTTTTTTTTTTTTTTTTTTTTTTACTTAAAACTTTTAGTGTAACTGCTGCTAGCTAAATATACTTTGACCTCAGCGGTGGCCTTCGAGGCTGTGCTCAGCCAGTGAGACCAAGGAAGACTCGTGCCAAAACCATCTTTCTCTTTCGCTTTGGACAGAGATTATCCTCTGCAGACTGGAAAGGATTGTTTGCACGCTGAGGGTTGCTTTGCAATGCAATCTGGATTTGGGGTTTGGTCAGCAGGGGGCTTAGAGGTGTAGGCGTGGAGACGCCCCTTCTCCACGAAGGCACCCTGGACTCACAGAGTTGGCCTGTGGCGGACCACCTTTCTTTATGAACCCTAGGAAGTGGTTCACATAGTTCTTCTGTACCCCAGGGAGACTTGGATGAACTTTAAATAACCACAGCTCAGGGCAGCTTATTAATGATTGGACTGAGAGGGGAGGGGAAGAAAGCCATGTCTCCTACAGGCTATTACAGACAGCATGACTTCCCCATCCCAGAAAACAGACATGTATAAAAGTATTTCAGTCTCTAGGCTCCTGGCCATGTCATGTCATGCCCACCTGGACCTACCAAATCCAGCTCTGGGTGAGAAAGGGGGCCAGAGGGAAGGACAGAATGATGCTTAGCTGAGGAGCTTGGGACTTTATCCAGTACTTATATGTCCTTTCCTCTGAGTCAGAGAGATCTCAGAGACGATGTGGATCTAACATCTTTCTTCACTTACCAAAATTTCAGTTTATTTATTGTATGTTTATGGAGGATCTACAATGTACATGACAGCCACTGAGAGAGCCCTGGGGAGGCAGAAGACAGCGGGACAGGTGTTGGGAGTGGGGGTGGGGGCAGGGAGTGTGGGAAGGTTCATCAACTCATTACAAATAAGATGAGGGTCTTTATTATTTACTTTTCTTGTTTTAATGACAACACATCTGGCCGAAACAACTTAAGGGAGAAGGGTTTGTTCTGGCTCACAGTCTGAAGGTGCAGTCCATTACGGTAGGGAAGTCACAGCAGCAGGAACATGAGGTACAGGTCACATGGTACCCACCATCAGGGACATGAGGTGCTGGTCACAGAGTACCCACCATCAGGGACATGAGTTACTGGTCACATGGTACCCACCATCAGGAACATGAGGTACTGGTCACACAGTACCCACCATCAGGGACATGAGTTACTGGTCACATGGTACCCACCATCAGGGACATGAGGTACTAGTCACATGGTACCCACCATCAGGGACATGAGGTACTGGTCACATGGTACCCACCATCAGGAACATGAGGTACTGGTCACACAGTACCCACCATCAGGAACATGACGTACTGGTCACACAGTATTTGCCATCAGGAAGCAGGAAGGAGTGAAGGCTGGTACTCAGTTGGCATTCTCCTTTTTAGTCAGTCCAGGACTCCAGCCCATGGACCACTGGTGTCCACACTTAGGATGAGTCTTCCCATTTCAATGAATCCAAGCTAGAAACTCCTTCACATACATGCCCAGAGGTTTGTCTACCAGATGATTCTAGATCCCATCAAGTTGACCATCAGCATTAAGTACCGTGGGGGTCTCAAGGAGAAGTATAAGAGACAATGGAGGCATTTAGAGAGTTGACCCCAGCCCCAGAGGGCCTCCTTGATTCAGAGCCTCTTAGTCTGCTGGGTAAAGTACGGATTGAAATCACAGCAGGTGAAGTTAGGAGCCTCTTTATCAGTGGAGGCAACTTCACATACAAAGACCTGGGGTTGGGGTGGAGGGTGTCCGTGGGGGGGGTACGGTAGGAAGGAAGGGAAGGAAAGACAGAGGGAGGTGGGGAAACAGAGGCAACCGCAGTGACGGACATGGCAAAGGCCGAAGCAGGCACCGTAGGATTCTTGAAGGCTATCGAGGACGGATAAAAGATTGGGAAATCTGAAGCATGTTAAGCTGGACAGTAACATGACCGGGAAAACAGAGCTGAACACATTCTTCAAGGAAAGATATAGGGAGGACTGGGAGGCTCCTGTCCCTCTAGGAGACGGGCCGGGAGATGAGGAAGGATGGATTGCCCCAGAGAAGCCACAAGGCGGGCACAGGGACTGGGGTATTTTTATCTGTTTTAGGGATGTCACCGGGAGGATGAATTGGTAGAGGGATGAAGGACAGTCAGGAAATGAAGACACTCTGAACAGAGATCTGGGGACATGGAAGTGAACCATGAAGGCTGAAGTCTGAGAGAAGGAAGAGGAACAGCAAGTGTGAGCGTGGGGAAGGGATGCCTGGGATGTACAACCCTGAAGAATAGATGCCTGGGATGTACAACCCTGAAGAGCAGATGCCTGGGATGTACAACCCTGAAGAGCAGATGCATGGGATGTACAACCCTGAAGAGCAGATG